CCAGCAGATGTAAGCCTGTATTGTTAATGGTTATCATTTACAATTAACTGTCCTTTTCCCAAATACATAGTAATCCTTATGATTTCACTGAGAACAAGAATGGGCTCTAAAGATTATTATTCCTACTTTGGATTTTACAATATCAAGACATAGAGGTACTTCTTTTCTGAATGCAATTATCTATTTATTGTTCCTTAGAAACCACTGATAATGTTTACAATTATAGACACAGTTAAAATATGAATAAATTTACTTAAACTGTTTGATATATCCATAGCCAGAATCCAAAAGAATACTGACTGTTAGGTATGCTTGTCTTTATGACTGATCTGACCTTTACCTTACGAGGAGTTTGAGGCATACTTACGGAGAACGTTTAGTCATAGCATTTTGATGCTAGTTTATTCTTAGAGTGAATTCATATGAGTATTATAAAAGAGGGGCAATGTTTATTTTATAAAAACCTAGAGTGGGATGGCAGAGATGGGTCCTTTGATGAAGCAGTTGTTGTGCACGTATGAGGAAATAAGTGCAGAATGTCAGCATCCATGTCAGAGGTATGGTGGGACATGCTGTAACCACAGCACATGGAGGGCAGAGACAGCCTGCTTCCGGGCGCTCTCTGACCAGACAATCTGGCCTAAACAAACTGCAGGTTCAGTGGGAGAACCTACCTCAAAAAAAAAAAATCAGTGAATAACAATAAAGGAGAGCACCTGACCTCCACCTCTCGCATCCACATGTGCACACACAGGCAAGCACACATGTACATGAAGATGCATACAACACACTAAATAATAAATAACAGAGATCACAGGGGATTTTACAGCAAATCATTCAGTAGTATTACCCTGTCACTCGTTTTTAATTATGAAACTAACTGGAATTTCAGATAATTTTGGATTGTGCACATCTCATATACAGCTATGCAAGCATTATTTCCAAGGAATGCGATTCAGTTAAATAGAACCCATTGAAGGCCATTAGATTTTGTAGCATAGACTGGAACCTTCCTATGTTAGACTTAATTAAATCTTCTGAGTCTCCCAAGAGCATATACAACCACCTTCCCAAGTGGAAGATGACTATATTCTCAGTTGAGATAATCAGAATGCTTTTTCCTCTCCTATAGATAAACAGGGTAGTTCAGGACTTTAAAATATTGCCTCACACAGTTTGTGTAATATAACAGACCCTTTATTACATGAGAACATATGTCTTTCAATATAATCTAGAAATCAATTGGCTTTGACTGCCTTTCCAACAAATAAAGCATTATTTAGCCCTACCAAGGCATTTACATGAGGTTTTCACCTTGTTTCTTTATTCCACAAGCAATGAATGGACTAAACCAGTCCTAATCAAATGCTAATAATTCCACCTTTGTCACTTAACCACCTGGGAAATGCCTTATGTCCTGAAGAGTTATATAACATGTCTTGGTGGTTACATTTCTATACTTCTATTTCAAATTGGATGATGATCCTTACAAAATGAGTGAATGTTTGGAGGATAGATGGATGACAGATAACAGGTGAGAGATATCCCTAAGTACAAACTGTAATATAAAATATAGTGCCTAAAAGCAAAAGTCAAAGATTTAGGTTCACATCTTAGCTCTACAACCTATTAACTAGGTAACCTTGACTAATTACACATTCTATCATTGTCTACTCAGCTATACTTTTGGGAAATTGCTTTTAAAGTTATTTTTAAAATCAAATAGGCAACAGTATAAAATGTCTTAGCATTGAGCATGACATACATACATAAATGCTCATTAGTAAATAACAACTGATACTGTTATGATTTTAAGTATGAGCTTTTTTAAGTATGAGCTTTATTTGAGAAAATAACTTTTCAAAAAGCTCCTACATTACCTTCTGCTTATTATATTTCAACTACAGTTTTCTCTTCTTTTTATGAAGCTTGAGTTCCCCTTTGAATTTCTTATTTCTTGCTGTATTGAATTTTTCTTTTTAAACTCTAAAATCAGCAGGCAAGGTGGCACGTGCCTTTAATCCTAGCCCTTGGGAAGCAGAGACAGGTAGATTTCTGCTAGATCTAGGCCACCCCGGTCCACACTGTGACTTCCCTGACTTCCAGAATGGCTGGGACTAAGGAGACCCTATCAAAAAAAAAAAAAAAAAAAAAAAAAAAAAAAAAAAAAAAAACCCAAACCAACCAACCAAACAAACAAAAAAAAACCAAACCAAACCAAACAAAAAATCCTTAAAATCAGTACAAATCAATTCAAGCAAAAAAGTTAAATAAATAAAGAAGGAAAGCTATAACTCCTTCTTCCACAGAATAACCAGTATGACATATTGGTTTATATCCTTCCTTACTTTTTTTTATGCTTATATAAACCACAAGATGAAGCTCTGTGGGTAGCCAACATGTTAATATAGTATAGCACATGTGCTTCTATTCTTGAATGCCTGTATATATATATTAACATAAATTATTATTATACTAGTCACAATAACAATATACTATGACAGTTTGTACTTAGTAACAAACATTCTCATGAAAATGCATTAAGGTCAAAAGTTATAGTAGTTATAATAGCCATTCAATAGCTTAAAGTAATACAGAGTTAGAAAAAAATCATTTATGCAATTCTTTATATGTTGAAGGTATTCAAATTGTTTTTGACTTTCTTCTCTATTCCATAATCAACATACCAATGTACATCTTTGTTCAAATATCCTTACATATTGATGCTTTAAGATGACAGATGATGAAGGGCTGGAGAGATGGCTCAGCAGTTAGGAGCACTGACTGCTCTTAGAGAGGATCTGGGTTTGATTCCCAGCACCCACATGGCAGCTAATAACCATGCATAACTCCAGTTTCAGGGGATCTGATGCCTTCTTCTGACCTCCACAGGCATCACATGATATGGGTGCACTTACACACATGCAGGCAATACTCTCATACACATAAAATAAAAAATAATAGAAATTTTTAAAAAGATGTCAGATGATGAAAAGTGAGATTTAACATCTACTATACCCCAAGTTCAAAGCTTTACATCTATTATATCATTAATCTTGATGTAATTGATGAAGCATCATTGTAACTAATATTTTTACATATGATGAAATTTAGGCAAATAGCTGTAAAAGCTACTAGCGGTGGATAAATATTTCAACCCAGGCAGCCTGGGCTCAAGTTCCTTCCTCTTATACAACTTTTACCCAGAAATCCCCAAATTACTTTCTTTGGCAATTACAAATATTGTTTCTTTCTATGATAATTTCTACAAATTATTCAGTCTTCCACTGCACCCCACAGAACAGCGTATCTAAGGATGAGGCATTTACAGGAGGCAGTGTGTTCCCTTAGGTAAACACAGATCCTATCTTGACTATAAACACAATTGCCTGTGCTGTGGAAAGCCCATTCCACATGCTATTTTGCTGCCTCAGAGACTGTCTTCTCAGACATCTTGCAGCAATTGGGATTCAGAAAGTAAACAGTGTTGCTAGTGTTTAAAAGGGAATTAGAGTGTCTCTGCCAATGGCTTCCAGATTTATACTTCAGGAGATAGATGAGAATTTTCCATTCATAGTTTATGGTGTTACAAATTTTATTTTAAAAGCCTCCAGGCTTTTAATCTTCAAGAATGAAGTCATTCTTCCTTTCAAAAGTAAATTTCTTACTTATTAGAATTATAACCGCATCTACTGTTTTATTGCTTCTGATATAATTTATTTACTTTTTCCACAAAGTCCTTTAGTCTACAAGAGTCCTGGGGACTTGAACAAAGGGTGTGGTTTTTATAATCAAATAAATGAGCAAACTTAAGCAAGAAATTAGTGATTGTTGTAGCTTTAGAAGAGTACAGCTTCGGGCATGATACTATGTTTTGTATGTTATGCTGAGAGAGGAAGAAATGATAGATGCTAAATATTGTTCTGAATTCAACATCATATCTGAGGAGAGGAACCCTCAGAGACACAAAGACATAGACCACTGCAGAAAATGTACTGTAGATGTAATGCAGCTTATAGAGGATGGAGGTGGATTGGCAAATAATAAACCTAATGTTTACACCTCAAGAAATGCAACTGTAGACACTGAGTTAATTCTTGGGTTGATAATAACCGATTCACACCTGCACAAACACGGTTGATCTATCAACTTCCATGGATTACCTAAGACTAAAGTGGTAGCAAGTTGTCAGTGAGACAAGAGTTCCTCTGGGAAGACAGATTGAAATGATTTGCACCGAAAACCTCTTCCCTGGAGGAAAAATCCAAACCAGTTGACAAAAGAGCTCTCACTGTGCTACCCATCTCCCTCTCTGAGGGGGACAAAGGGTGTGCTGCAAAACTGGGCTCAGAAGCACTTGGCTGTCATTTACAAGTGTTTGTAACTGCTAGGGTGGTTCGATTCAGGAGCTTTGGGTAGTACCTACATGACTGATAAAACCAAGTTGATTAAGTGCAGCCAGCAAGGGTAAGCAGTGCCTCATTGACTGAAATGTGTAAACTGACTGAGCTTAAAGTTTCTAAAATTGGCAAATGTAACACATTCCACATCGACTCATTTTACATGCACCCTCCCCCGCTGAGTGGTTAATTGGGACCCTCTGTAAGGCTTTCTTGTGCTTCCTGTTTGGCAGACTGGACAAGCACACAGTGTTTTCAGATGATGTCAAGGAGACAAAATTAGGGTCAGACTTCAGACAAGAGGAAAGTTCAGACAAGAGGAAAGTTCCCTCCCAATGGGCACAAAGGAGCCCATCCAAACTTAAACCTCCCTGAATGCTTAGAAATACACACTAATCAGAAATACTGAGGGCAGAGACCACGTGATTAAGGGTAACACCAGAGGAAGGGCTGGGTGTGAGAAAGGCTGGAGGGAGCAGGGTGATCTTTAGGACTCGGAGCGCTGGGCAGCCTGTGGGGTGCTCTGGCACCTCGCAGGCCACCATCCGAAAGCCCCGCTGCACTCCCCTCATCCGCTGGCCCTCAGCTGTGGTCACTCACTCACGGTCCGCGACACCTTCAACTCCTGGTTGAGCCACTGGCACAGGATCTCCGACATGGCTCGCTGGCGCCTCTGACCACTAGCAGGTGCTAGGAACTTGCAGGAAACACGGTCTAGGGCCCAGCGTCCTCCTGTTGTCCAGGGCAACCCGTTGCTAAGGAAGCGCATCCAGGCCTGAACTAAGTAGCAGGCTCTGGAAGAGAAGCCAGAGGCTGGAAATTGTCCTCTGCCCCCTACTGGTTTGTAAGACCTGAGCATACCAAGCTCAGAAGGCCAAGAGTGTGAACAGCAATTATAAAACTGAAGATTTCTTTTCAAAATCATTACTTATCAGTTGAATTACAAATCTTCATTTCTTATATGTAAACAACCGAGGGTGACTATGAAGAGTTACCGAGACCAGGTTGCAAACGATGTTATGTGTTACAAAGCACTTCGTTCAAAATAAGTAAACAAAGCACAATTTTAAAAAGCAATTATATTTTTCTTAATTAGAATTTTTCACCATCAGTGAAGCTCAAACTTCACAACCACATTTGAGCCTGAACGGGTGCTTTCTGCTTTTGAGCTCAATAGTTCCTTGCCTGGATAAATGGCTTCTGTTCTTTGTACCTCATCCCCCTTTCCTATAGTTGTAGATGTAATGTGTGCTTTAAGGTTGTGAGGAGTCAAGGAAAACTCACACATTATGATGTGTGGCTCACAGCAGAACTTCAACATGTATTTGAAACTTCCCTTTTCTTCCAAGTCTATGTGAGGTTTTATATTTTACAAATTGACTGGATTTGTCATAGATTATAGGTGATTATATTTCAAAAGGTTTGTGAAACAATCATTTCATATGGATGCTTTGATTTTACTCATAAATATTTTGAAATCTATTTTCACCTAGAGTCATAGGCAGATTTTAAAATCTCAATTGTTTTCCACATATGTCTTGGAGTCATTTCTTCATTTTCCCCCTCATCACCTTCAATCATCCTCTTATTACCACTGCTCAGCAGGGTTTGCAGTGACCTGGCTTAGCTGACATTTATTCAGGAAAAAGATATTTGCCTTCATGACCACAGTAATCAGCAGCCCGGTGTCCTTGTCAGACTAACCTGTACAGCACATGCAGTTCTTATCCCTAAAACCTCACTATAGTCCTTCACTCCGACATTTCACGAATTCCACTAGAATGTTTTCTTTACTGTTATCCAGACACTATGATATCTTCAGTGAGCCAATGCAGAATCTTCAAGTGGAATGATATATGATCAAGCAGAGGAGAAAACAGAACACACTGAAGGTAATAAGGGCAAATATGTGTTGCTGCATTAGGGATCCTTTTGCTTTATATATATAATTGTGCATGTGTATTAAATCTGTATATATGTGAAATAAATAATATTTCCAGGCTTACCAGGCTCCAATGCATAGTTATAAACCTATTGTCACACAGATAGCCTTGATTAAGTTCTGTCAGTCACAAAACAAAACAAGCAGGCATGAGTGTAGGAAAGGCATTTGCAAGGATGAGGGATGTGGAGAGGGATGGAATGGAGATCAAAGAGGTTGAGGTGAGGATATTCAGAATGCACTTTACACACACACACACACACACATACACACACATGAAATTATCAATGAACAACTTTACTTTCTTTGTAATTTTGTTTATATTTCTTTCCTTGAGCATAACTTTCCCACCTCAACACATTTTCACCATCTTCTCTCAGCAGCAGAAGCAACTTCCTCTTAGACAACAAACCAAGTCCATTTTCAGGGTCAAATTCATGAACACCAATTTCAAAAAACCTCTTCTTTCTTCCTCCACTCTTACCATACTCCTGGGAAAAGGGCTCTCTTTTTACTCTTTATCCAAGACAAATAATTTATTTTGAATTTTAAAAAATCTTTTCTATTTGTGTGTCTGTGTGTGTGCACCTGTGTGTGTGTGTGTGTGTGTGTGTGCACATGTGCCACATGCCAGCAGGGGTCTTTAAGGCCTGGAGATGGTATTGGATCACATGGAACTGTAGTCACAGGTGTCCTTAGCAATCAGATGAAAGTGCTGGGAATCAAACTCTGGTCCTTTGCAAGAGCAGCAAGTGTGTATATGTGCTGAGCCACCAGACGAGTAAGAATTAGCAAATGCCTTTAGCTAGGCAAGCAACTCAGTTTTCAATCTTCTTTTTCAATATAGTTTCAAATAAATATTGATTTAAGCTCTCAGAATTGGAGATAGAGTCAGTTCCTTTTAATAACAAATAATAGTAACATTGTGAAATTATGATTCTAATTTAAAATTATTCAACTCTTTTACATTAAAGCAGATATGATCTTTTTCTTTGCATGGGTTATTTTCCAGATCCTTATGGTTTGTAATATGTGGACTTCATTCTTCTCAAGTAAAAGTTTAAAATGTTCAAATTTAGAAAGCAATTAGATTTGAAACAAAATCAAGTAAAAAAAAAGATATGAAAATACACACTGAAGAAAAGACAGCAGCTGCAACAAATGCTGCTGGTCAAACTGGATGACTACATGTAGAAGAATGAACCTAGATCCTATCCCTGACCTGCAAAATATTCAACTCTGAACGGATCAAGGATTTCAACATAAAACCCAATACCCTGAGTCTGATGGGGAGAAAGTAGGGAATACACTTCAACTTATAGGCAGGATATTCTGAACAAGACCCTGGTAGTTTAGGCATTAAGACCGACAATGCCCAAATAGGACTTCATGAAACTAAAAAGTTTCTACAGAACTAAAGACACCATCATTCTAGTAAAGAGACAGCATATAGAATTAGAAAAAAATAATCTGGTAGAAGGCTGGTGTCTATAATTCAAAGAACTCAAAAAACTAATTACCAAGTAAGCAGACTATCCAATTAAAAATTGAAGCATGGAGCTAAAGGGTTCTCAAAAAATAAATGTAAATAACTGAAATACTTTTTAAAAATCTCAACATCTTCAGCCACCAGGGTAATGCACATTAAGAATACTTTGAGATTTCATCTTTCCCCAGTCAGAATGGCTAAGATCAAAGAAAGAAATGAAACCAAATGCTGACATAGATATAGGGAAAAAGAAATACTTATTTACTGTTGGTGAGCGTGCAGATTGGTGCATCACTTTGAAAGTCAGGTTGGACATTCTTCAAAAAGCAAGCTATGATCCAGCTTTATTACTCCAGGGCATATTCTCAAAGGACTTCATAGCCTACGACAGAGATACTTGCTTATCCATGTTCATTCACAATATCCAGGAAATGAAAACAGCTTAGATATCCTACAACAGATGAATGGATAGTGCAAACGTAGTTCATTCAGAATGGAACATTATTTAGCTGTAAAAAAACTGAAATGATCAAATTTGTAGGTAAATGAATGGAGCTGGAAATAATCATTCTGAGTGAAGCAACCCAGACTCAGAAAGACAAATATTGCATATTCTCATATGAGTATGCTAGTTTTTAATTTTAACATATAGTCATTTAAACTGGAGGAAACATAGAAGGCAGGAAACTAGTAAGAGACCTTAGTGGGGAAGGTTCAAGGAAAGGGAGAGAGAACATAGGTGGTAAGAAGGGGGGAAAGGAAATAACAGGAGAGGGATGGTTAAAATATGGTGGTGTATGGGGTGGAAGGGGACAAGAGTGAGTTTGGAGAGGGATAACTAACACTAAAGATTTTTGAAAATGTCACATGGAACCTTCTATTGTAGAACCTTCATATATATTATATATATATATATATATATGGAGTTCAAATGGAGTGACCCTATGTATTACTACTTTTCTGTTGCTTTGATAGAAACAGCATGACCAAGGGAGCTTATAAAAGGAAGTACGGTTCCATCATGGCAGAGACACTTCACAGTACAAGTGACGGGAGCAGGTTAAACACTCACATGTTCAAGCAGACACAAGAAGACAGTGCCTGGAGATCTGACAAGGCTTAAGAACTGTGTAAGCTCACCTCAGTGACATGCTTCCTCCAGCATGGCCACACATTCTAAGACCTCCCTAAACCGTGCCACCAACTGAGGACAAAAATGTCTGAATACTTAGAACCTATGGGGGACATTCTCATTCAAACCACTACACCCTGTACCTGGGGGACAATACCTCTTCCAGACATCACAGGCTATAAAGTAAAAAGCTCAGTGACAGATATGGGTTACTTCTTTTGGAATGATTGGTCAGTGGGTTTCCATAGCCCCCCAAATATTATGGGCTATTGACATTGTTCTTAGTTACTCTCCAATACTTGACAGTAAGATTGTATTGCTGAAGGCATCGCATATTTGAATCATGTGACATGGAATAAATCAAGCTTGTGCAAACCTGGAAACTTTATTCCTAGTAAGTGGCTTTCATAATGCTGTAACTTGCTATGCATGCTACTGGGGGAGAAAAATAATCAACATCTTACCCAGCTGTGAGCCCTGGAAGCTGTAATAACAACTGGTCTAGTAAGATGGGCTCACTTATGCAATAGTGGCAAAAATGTTTTGGGAGTAATCAATCACTTTCTGGTTGGATTTAAAGCCTACTCCACAAGAGTGAGCTCATGCCTGGCACTGTTAATTGAGCCAAAAATCTATGGCTGGCTAGGCCATAGACCTTAGCTAAGAACCTAATACTATGCCTGGGAGAAATGAACAGAGTAATAAACTGCTTCCTAAGTAAGTTTGTCTCTTTATAGCCATAGATTAGTACATCTTACATCCCTTATCAGAGAAGCTACTTTTTGTAGTAAGTTGTGATTAATTAGAGACCCATAACTGGTCAAAGATAAGATACTGCTAAGTGCTCAACTCCAAATGGGACATCAGTATCACACCTTTCCCCACAAGGCTCAGAAATCATTTTGGAAGAAAAGACAGAAGATTGTTAAGTTCCAAAGGGAGTGGACATCTGCATGAAACATTTACTGGATATGACAATGCCATTACTCATGTGAATTCACAGAGGTTGTTACTGCATGCCCAAGACCTGCATGAGATCAAGCCAGCCAAATTCCCAGCATGGACTGGGAGGAATTCATAAAGATCCATCCCTAGATGATTAACTGTTGGCAACTGATGACTGCTGAGGGAAGAGAGTCAGTTTTTCTCAGAGCTGTGGCCACTGGAAGACTATCTATGCCCCAGTAATGGCCCTATACACTATACCTATGGAC